GAGTCCAATGCAAAAGGTGAGAGGAAACTTGGTTAGGCAGTTAGGAAGCTGGTCCTTCTGAGCCAGTGTAGTCGTTAACAGAATGATGGTTTACGAAGGAATTGTTGCAGTCTGGTATATGACCCATTACATGCAGCCATGTTATGTTTTTTAGTAAATCAGTTGGAACTTACTGTTTTTCTAAAGGCGGGTTTTTATGGTGACAAAAATAATATTTAAATTTAGGAGTAAGAATAGAAGTTTCATTCACCCACCCAGAGGGAAAGAGAGAGATGCCTCTGTACATGGCAGGCCACATACTGCAAGGCCTTACCTGTACGTTCCAGGCTTTGGTGCTGCAAATATTTAAACATTTTATTCAAAGAGAACAGCTTCCACAAACTGAAACTGAAAACAATTCTTCAGAACCCAATGTTAGCACAGAGCTGCTTCCTGAAGAGGGAAGCCACTGGAGTCTGGCTCACTTCTACAAAACCCAGATCTGAACCAGTTTCCTCTCGCCTCTAGAGTAAATGAGGCACTGACCAAGCACCTGGCTCGAGGAAGGTGCTTGTCTCAAAGCAGCCTCTCCTCTCTGTGTCACTAGTTTCCTTGACTTCTGAGAAAAAATACTCTGTAGGGTTCAATGAAACATATCCAGGAGGAAAACCAAAGGAAAGGAGAGAAAAAAGTTTTGTTTTTTTTTTCATACTGAGGTGAAATTAAGTGATTTTTTTCGTGTGACCACTCTGTGAGCAGTCATTTATTCACTGAGCTTAGCTGCTAGATTGCTTGCAGTGCTTCTGTCCAATGCATTGTATTTATCTAATATATTTTTAAATGCTTGGTTTCTAAAGGGAGTTTGTGTTAGCAAAACACATTCCAGAAGAAGCCAGATATCATGCAAGTAAGGCCATCTTCATAGCCTAAACCTAATCTTATCTATTGGAAAGATAACTAAGGGTTGTAGTTTAGGTTTATAAGCCTTTATATAGCATTTCAAAATCCAGGAGGGTTTTGCTTTTATCACTTAACCCCCCGTATGCAGGTAGAAGCTATTGTTTTCTGCTAGTCTGTACATTGCTTTGCAGATTAGGGCATAGGCTACTTGAAGGATGCTTTCGTTGGGTTTCTTTTCATTTGAACATACATTTTGGTCACTTCTAGGGCACGATGCCCTGGAAGATCGTTCTGTGACTATGCAACTCTGTACAGAACTTGTGGATAAAAGCCACTGCTTTCATTTGGAGTGAGTTCTTTTGGTCAAAAATGTAGCAGTGTGGGAGAAGTTATGTGGATTTACACGGTTTCAGATTTTTTCCTGATCCCAAGCTCCAGTTTAAAGCTGGATTTCTTCAGCAGTCAGCAGTAGAGAGTGTGGTTACACCCGTAGATACTGTTTTTTCAACTCTACATCCAGTTTCTGGGCTCCTTAAACAAACTTCTCTGGCAGTAAGAATTTTAAGTCTTATTGAAGCTGATTCTAGGATCAAAATGGTTATACTCAAGGGAATAAAACTCTATGAAGGTCTGCTAAAGGTCAAATTATTTTGTCAGTCTGTTTAGGAACTATGTAAGAGTATTCCGTGTAACATAATGCAGTCTATATAGGTTCTTGTCAGTTGCATAGATGGTAAGAGAATGCAATTTAAAATCATTGAAAGAGGAGCTAAGAATGATGGAGAATCTGTCTTGAGAAAAACATAGCTGACAACATTTCAAGACTCTTCACAATGATGTATTTTTGCTCAGTTCTTCCAAGCAGCATATTGCACATTGCACTTATACTACGAGAAGTGTTGATTCACAAGGAAAAGAAACCTTCATTTGTTAAATCTGTGTCTTAGCATACCATCAAGTGTAGTCAGTGCTGCTTTCAGTGAAGTAAAATATAGTAAGTATGTACTGGTAGATGAATCATGATTGCAATAAGCAATAGAAGATGCTTTCTTCAGGTCACTGCCCTCTGTATTTTGAATCAAACTCTACAGACCTCTAGACTTTCAGGGTAGTTCCTAGCATGTCTCATTTGGCTGTTGAGACATTTCAGTTAGTTTTGATTTTGAGGCATCGCGCTATTCCTTTAGTTTATTGCAGATTAAGATGCTCACTTTCCAAAAGGAGCTGCCTGCAGTAATCCACCAGGCTTGGTGCAAAGCCTGGCCAAGAAGGGGTGATTCTGTCATCCTCACCCCTCACAGGTAGTGCCTCGCTTACACAAATGGCCTTATTAGCTGTCTTTTATTACTCACAAAGAAAAATGTTGCTTAGTGTGAGTCAGAATGGCAGAGTTGGGCCCTGGGTGAACAAAGAGTCCAGGATTATCGTTCCGAAAAGCCCCCTGAGGCCTGTATCAAGAGTTATTAAGCACTGATTCAGCCCATAGCATTATTTTGTAGGCTTAAGAGGGATTTCAGTGGTATATTGGGTCTTGTGTCTGTGTAGGGGTGAATTTTGCCCTCTGTTTTTTTTATCTTATAAATATCTGTTACTGTTTCTCTTTTACGTTATTGTTTAAATCTCTTTCAAAGGTACAGTTTCTTAATCCCCTGCTGCATTTTTTTTCTTTCCTCTAATAAAGAATAAATAAATTTGCAAATCCACACATGACTGAAACAAAAGGCAAATAAGCCCTGCACCGTTTGAATTTGGTGCTGGATACTTCATTTTGATGATTTCAGTCATCATTCATTCGAAAACCAGAAGCTATGTTTGTTAAGCCTCATTATTTTCTATGAAGCCTGACAGTTTCAAGGTTAAACAGAAGACATCTACTTTCATCCCAGTGGCATTTCTGTTCAAACAAGGGCAGCTCCTCACTGACTTGCATGCTGCCATGTGCAGTGCCATTGGCTGATCTCAGTGTGGAGCACAGCTGAGCCTGACTGTAGGACCCCTAACCTGCATCTCTGAAGGAAACCTCAATCATTAAATACATTTTTACCCCTCTTCTGTAAGCTACGTGATTTCCTTTTGACTGAGCAGAAATATTAATAAGCTCTGGTTTGGGATTTTGCTGTTTCTGCTCTTTATCAAGAAACAATTGGCAATCCAAACCTTCTGTTTTAAATGTTACTCCTTTCCTTTATGTCCTGAAGCATGTTAAAGAAGGTTTTAGTGAGAGAGAGCAGGGGGAGGGAGGAACCTCCAGTGATGTTTAAAGTGGTAAGAAAGCTGCAGTGGTGCTTCTGAAAGTAGAGGGTAGAAAGTCCTCGTTGCTGTTGATATAGAGGGACGATCTGTCATTGTTTTCTCAAGTTGCACGTGGACTGAGAGTTGATTTAACAGGGAAACATCTCAGGAGGAGGAGCTGAGGAAAGTGTGACCTATAAATAACTATGAGTTAGAACTCTTAGAACCCAGAAAGCATAGATTCATCCACTTTAAGGAGTAAATATGCTGGAAAACCCCTGACTTTGTACTTGTGTGAACAAACTGTAGTGTTTTAGGACTGTCTGGGTAGCACCTTCAGAAAGACAAAGTGCCATAGATTTGTGTGACAAAACAGGAAAAAATGCACTCATTGGTTAAAAAAGGGAAAATCAATACATGGACAATAGAAGGGAGAGGCGTGGCTAAGCAGTAACTCTTTACCTATACTTAAAAAGTGAAATTGAAGTCATTAAAAGCTGATTCTTTAAAGTCCCTATGAAACAACTAGAACCAGGTGAACTTTCCACATATATTTCCTGGTGTCTGATAATGGTGTTAGGGTGGTGAATTCTTAATCAAGTTTCAGGAATTAAGTCATCTGGTGAGTACAATAAGAGGTGTAGTTTCATGTCACTTTGTGGTTCCTGGAAAACAAGAGTGTTTCAGTACGTACCATGCGTGTTAGTCACGACTTGTGGCATTCAATCCAAAATGTGTTAACTAGTTTTCCTGCTCTGATACAGCCATTAGATAAAATACGTTTTACAGTTTTGATAAAGTGGTGTTATTTTTTACTTCCTATCTACATTCCTTATGATATACAATATTAAAAAAAAAAAAAAAAAAACACAAAAAAAACCCTGTCTTTTCAGATAAGAAGCAATGGTCAACTTTGCAGTAGTGAATATAGCTACTTGAACTTGTGGTTCTTTTTTATCCATTATAGAAGATGTGTGCATAATATGCTGGTTACTTCTCTGAAAGTGTTCCACTACTTGCAGTGCCTAGCTCTGTATAGATAGTTTATTTGTGGGATAGCTTTCATGGAAGAATTCCGTAAAGTTGAAGAAATAGCTGAAATGCAAGATTACTGGAATGCTGAAAATAAATGCATGCAAATGGAAAAACCCTGAACACATTTATAGCTCTTTGTGTTTCCCTACCTACAAAAGAAAAGAACAAATTAAACCACCAAGATGCTGGACGTGCTTATGTCCTGTCCATTAAAATTAAGGATTAGATGCCTCTCTGACCCACTTATTTTGGCTGTTAATTTTTCTGTAGTCTCCATAACAGTCATACAGGCCACCTTCAAATATCATTGTGCACATCAGAGACTTGGCTTGCCGTTACTTTGAGAAAGCTTCTGACATAAAACACATGGGATTTGGGCATAAATTTATAAATTGAACAATAAAAATATCTTGCACTGCTGGGTAACAGCAGGGTGTTTTTTAAAGGGAAACAACAGCTAAGTGTTAAGTTTAAGAAGAGGTATGAACTGGCCAAATTTTTAAAAGTGCAAGAACTGAACATTGTGCTAACACCAAAGAGTATGTTTGCCACAATTGCTGTACAAAGTTTTGTGTTTGTTCCTTGTGGGCATTCACATACTCCATATACTATAAAAGAAAAGCAAGTTGCTATGTATCACTGACTGCAGATGGGTTGGGTTTTAGGTTAAAAAGTTTTCTGTAAGTTGTCTGCGTTTTCCCTTAATGTCTCTCCTTTACAGTAGTGCTTTGTTTCTGAGCGTGACCACCACCAGGACAGCTTGGTTCAGTGCAAACACTGTCTCTTTCAGCCAGAACATTCCTAACATTAGCTTCCTTTTTTTTCTCCTCTCCCTCTCCCCTGCCCCCTCTCAGGTTGGAAAGGCTGGTGGACGTCCTGAGGAAGAAGGTTGGAGCAGGGACCATTAGGACCGTGATCTGATTGAAAGCTTCAGTCTAAGGAAGCATTCACATCTGGTGACCAGGCTGCTTCATTCAGCACTGTGTAAACACTAAAGCCTTAACTTAGCAAACAGTTGTTAGAAGTGGGACACTCCAGCGACATTCCAAGCTGAGATAAAATCAAATCATAAATGTTTAACTACTTTGCTGCTGAGTTCTGTGATTTGTTGAAATGTTTCACTGCAAACATATATTTGTTTTTAAGCAGATGCATTGTGGCTCTGTGTACTGTGAAAAATGATGTAGATGCTTATTTTAACAGTCTGTTCCATCAGTGTTACTAGACTACAGTCTGCTGCAAGCAAGGCACAGTTTGACCGTGTGTTTAAATACCACCAGCTTCAGGTGCAAAATCCTGGAAAGCAGCTTCAAAATTTGAATTTTTTGTGTTATTTATGAAACTGCAAACAGTCTGGTATTTGTATATTAAATACAGTAATTGATAAAGTAAGTTTACATTCAAGAAATAGCTCTGTCCACTGTGTGGGAGAGTTTTTTCCTCCTTACTTATAGCCCATTGCAGCTAATAACCGTAGCTACATCTAAAGGAAGGATGCACTTTTATAGCTTTATACAACACTTGAATAACTACTGAAGTACATGGTATTTTCAGCATACCTTCAAAAGAAATGTACAGTTAGGTTTCACTGGAGGAACAACTGCATAAATAATCATAAATCGCCGTGTGAAAGCCTGGTGACATTGTGGGGTATCTCAGACAGTGGGGAAGGTTTCCTGGTTTGTTGTTGGTTACTCCTCTGTCCTTCCCTATAGGGTAGATCCTTTAGATGTTCAGAAATCACCTTATAGTCAAAACGCATCTATGTGGTATAAGGTGAGTGGCTCACACATTTTCTGCAAGGATGTTTCCCCAGTTTTATTTTGACCTCTGATTGCTCTGCAGTGCAGGAGTACCATCCGGGTTGGATTGGGGGCCAGAATGCCAGCCCTCTGCTTTGCTGACTCCCAAAGCACCCTGGGAGAGAACTTGAAGGTTGAAGGATAAAATCCTACAAAGAGGGAGGAAACAGAGGAGTGGGGAAAAAAATTGCAGGTACACAGTCATTGTAGACATTACCCAACGATATAGGAGAGTTGGCTCTAGATATATGTTCGGGAACATATTCTGCATGTTTTTATCACACAACTAAAGGCGAACTGAAGAGTCAGCTCAAGGCAGCTGCCCAACAAATCTGGCCCCTTGCAGGGAAATGAGTAGCATTCCTTCAAGCCAAATTTATTCAGTGTCACTTCAGAAACTCCTGATGAGCTCCTTTTTGACCTTTGTTCAATCCTGAGATAGCCAGTGAGACTGAAGTCTCTCCACAACATTTATTCAATGGGATGAAAGTTTCATGCTTCTAGACCAGAAGTCCATCAACCCAGCACCCAGCCCCTTCCACCTCTCTGGAGTGCTCCCAATTTGCATTCAGACAACTCTTTTTTCCATTGCCTTTATTGAATCTTGGATCACTAATTGAAAGAAAAGATCACCTGAGCTGTGAGCAATGTTGAGCCAGTTCTGCTTCAGGAAATGCTATAACCTAATTTTTCTACTACAAAAACGTTGAACAGCCATTTCCTGTTCATACCATTTTTTCATCCCTTATGATTTTATGTATTTTGCATCATTCACTCACCATCTTCCAGACAGAAGCCTGAGTCTCTCATAAAGGAGCAATCTCATGTTTTCAACTTGCCTTGTCATGCTAATGTATTTTTTTCTAGTTCTTCTGTGTTTTTACCAAAATAGAGTAGGATTTGAGCATGGTATTCAAGCTGTGATTTTAACAGATGTCATAATTATGTTTTCTGTTTTATTCTGCAAGATATTTGTAATTGTTTAAGCATTAAAATTTCTTTAGGAAAGCTTATGTCTTTTAAGTTAGTACTTCTCTAATAAGAATAATAATAACTTTAGATCTCATTCTTCAGTTATAATATCCAGTTCAGGATTCATCATGGGGTGTGTAAGATCAGAACAAATCAGAATCATTTTCTGGACGTTCAGCTGCTGTGTTACATTCCCTGACTGATTACCACTTGTTCCTATTCCACAGCTCATCCTTACTGCTACAGGAACAGTGTACCATCAGGAAATATCTCCAGATTCTCTCCCTTTTCAAGGCAATTTCTTACGGCCTTGAAGTAAGTTGAACAGCATGGTGTCTGGCAAAGATCCCTATAGGACAGTAAGGTAGTTTACCTTCACTGTGAAAATGATACATTTGTTGTTAGCTGTTGTTTTAAGCTAACTTTTAACTACGTGTTTTTCCATGTGAAGATTTTCCATCTTACTCTTTTGGCAGCTGTGTTGAGGTAGCTTGTTTGCTGCTTGGGAAATGCAAATTTACTTAATCACGGCTTGTTTTCCATGCATGAATGTACTAGGCTCCTCCTCCCCATTTGTATCAGAATTCCTCACCTTGTCCCAAGTCCTTCCTCCTCTCCAATTACTGTGTGAGTGCAGGCTCCGTACAGCACAGCTGTTTGCCCTCCCTCCCCTTGCTTCAGCTGGCTTTGTTTAGGAACGTAGCATCAGCATACTTCTTATTGTGGGTAACACTTGTTTCTGTACATTTATGTGGTAAATTTCCTTCATTATTTTCTTTTTGACATGTTGTACCTAAGGTAAAAAAATATTTCCTGATTCTGTCTTACATCTTGTACCAAGTCACCATGAGATGTAATGAGCTTTTAAGATAGCTTTTTTTTTATATCACCCTGCACATATATTACTTTGAATCATAATTAAATTAGGTATCAATTTTTAAAATTCAGATAGAAAAGTTTGCTTTCTTTTGGAAAAGGCCTTGAGAAATTGGCTGTGCTGGCAAGCAAAGATTCTGAAGCAGTTGGGCTCTACCTCCTCCTTGCTCATAGCCTGGTGTGTGGTCCTCAGCAAATCCTGCAGTGACTGTTGTAAAAGGCATGAAGACCCTCGAGAGGCACCTCTGTGGGTTAATGGCAAAACACTTTCACTTCTTCACCCACTGCAGTGAATGACAAAGGTTGGGCAGTTCCAGAAATAGAGGCCCAGCCCTTGGTGCCTTCAGGTGGATTTCTGGCCTCAGTGAACTCAGTCTGAGTTTTGTCTTTCAGTGTAATGAGGGCAGGAACTCTGATCTGGCATGTAGAAATAGGCAATAATGATAACACAGATTAATTGGCTTTTGTTGTGCAGTTTATTCAGTGAGAAGTGATTGATGTCTGTGAAATGCTCTGAAGGCAGAGAAAGCCTGCCCTATATAGCAGACATGGAGAAGTCACTTCTGTCCTAACTTGTGAAGAAAGATGTGCTTCCATCAGATTAAGTAACAGAAATAGCAATTTGTTTTCCTCCTGGTGATGAAAGGTGGCTCACCATGGGCAATGCTTATGGTGACAGTTGTAATTATTGGTCAAATTAGTGTCCCTCTTGTTTCAAAGAGCACTGAGATGTTCAGGAATACTCAACCCTTGTGAGATTTCCTGTGTTTCTCTTGATGATCCTGCAGCATGCTTGCATTGGGAGCCATTTCTGCAATATGCCAGGCTAAAATATGTAAATAGCATCATGTTGGCTTGGGATAAAAGCGTTATTAATGCTTTTCGGCACTGTAATTATATTCATAGTAAGCCTTCCCTAAGCCCACACTAATTAACAATATTATGACAAATCAACTTTAACAGAAAAGAACTGTGGACCTTTAGTCAATTAGTACTGTTTTCATTCAGCCCATAACCCAAAATGAATAGCGTGGTTTTCTGCACGAGTGCCAGGAAAACTACTGATACTTGCAAAGTTCAGAGCCAGATCAGTCATGTTTGCAGAATCCCATAGATGAAGTCAGTTTGATTGTCCTTTAAATGTATTCACAATAACACAAGATTCACTAGTTAACCATTAATATAGAGGAACATGAAAACAGCTCTTATGAATAAGCCATCATATTTAAATAGTTTAGTAATGTCAATATGTTGTCACTGGCGCACTTGTTTATCAATTTATTCCAAATCACAGGACACTTTACAGATATTCACCTGTATTTTCAAATTAAATGGCTTTATAAATTTTCTTATCAAACGGTCAAGAATTATAACATTCTTAATCCACATATACAAATGAACTTGCTATCTAAATGTCGAGATTCTTCTGTGCTATCATTTTCTTCATTTAGAACACTTCCTGATGATTCTAGCATTTTCTTCTTCTTTTCAACTTGTACACCACAAGATTTTTGTCACATACAGGAATAAGCTGCAAGACGCATTAAGTCTCTGACTGACAATTTCTCTCATATTTCACTATGATCACAGTGTTAATGTGCTGACTCTTATCATTGTACCATTTCACATCAGGTCTACAGAGCTGGACTTCCCTTGTTTGTTCTTCTCATGCATTGGTAAATAAAATGCATTCACGAGTCCAAAAAACAAAGCAGTGTTCTCATATTAGGTTGATTATAAGTCAGCTGTTGAGCTTCACTGGTCTAAACATTTCATTCTTCAGTTTTGTTGGGAGCACACGTGTTCTGGGAGGCTTTTAAACAAATGCTTGAAATGGTTGAAAGATTTACATTGCTGGTGCCTAGCTAAATATGTAGTCTTTAGAAAAGACATAGTTTATTTTGGCACCATTTGAAAAACTCAAATATTTTAAACATTTGTTAAGTTCAAGCTTGCACATTTCAACAAAAAGTTTGCATTCCAAAATTACATCTCAGATTACCTGTCTCTCTCTCTCTTTTGTATTTTGTAATCCTTTTATTAAAATAGTCTTTGCAAAAGAAGTTCATTTTTTGGGGAGAGGTTTTTGTTTGGTTGGTTTTTCTAAATTGTAAAATATTGCCTTTACCTTAATCAATTTTTAAGGTAACATTTACCTGGTAACTCTATTCAACTAAACTTCAGAAATGGGAGTACAGAAATGCTTTCAGAATTTAGATCTTCATGTGAGTGTCCAAGGCATGTTTATAAAATTAGTCAAATACAGGAATTCTGGCCAAATCCTGCAGAGCTTCACACTTAGTCATTCTGAATGCTGAGATAAATAAGTACTAACCCTGATGTTGGGGGTGCAGGGCCAGACAATAAAGAGAGCAGGTTGAATGAGTACTGAACTGATAAAATAGAATAGCTCAGGGAAAAAGAAAACCTTTTGCATGGAGTTGTTTTTCGTTTCGGTCTTTCCCTCCCTTGGCTGGGGGAGGGGCTGCAATGTTTAGCCTAAATTTTTATTTTAAAAACAACTTCCACCTTTGATTTTCCCATAGGTTTTAACCTGAAAGTTGTACTGAATCTTAAAAAAAGTGAGAACATATCAATTGAAAACAATGTATTTTCTATAAATCCTGCCAGATTCCCAGTTCAACAAACACTTGAGCATACCACTACAATTATACACGTGCTTTGGTGCGTTGCCCAGTCAACAGCCAACTGCAAAGGGTCACACGCCTTTCTGCAAAGCTGTCATCAGGAGGAGTTTGGCGTGTTTCCTCCATGGTTACCTGGGGCCAAAGGTCCAAACAGTGCCACATTCACAGGAGTTCCTAAGCATTTGAATGGCTTCTGAACGTGCTATGGCAGATCCATTGTCATATAGTGAAATAGCAACGTACCTGGCAGAATTCGCCACACCTGATAAACCTTGCAGAATACATTACATGAATTTAAGATGATTACTACTCATACATGAATATGAATACTGTATTTCACATACAACTGAACAATGAAATGATTTCCCAAAGAATTCAAAAGGTGGAAGCTGTGGGTTTGAGGTTTTTTGTTTTGGTTTGGTTTTGATATAGTAAATGTTACTAGAACTACTTCCAAAGCTAAACTCATAAGAGAAAAATACAAAAGCTTAAGATGCAAAAATGAAAATCTAGTTTGGTGCTATTCTAATTAATTGTCTGTAACCTCAAGCCCTTTGCACACAATTTTTGACTTTCACTGAAGTAGTGCCACTATTTCACAATTTTTTTCTTTTCAAATAGGTAAACTGTTTTCAAAAATCAGTCTATGAGAAATGAGGTTCCTGGTGTCTAAGTTGAAATCAAGCAAGACTTCACATACTTCTAAGTGACAATCAGCTTTTCAAAAAGTTAACTAATATCTTCACTTGGATATTTGGATTATTGAGAGAACATACACAGCTCAGATGCAGCCTATGTGAAAGTATACTAGAGTAGAAATAGAATAAGAAACGGTAGGATTTTCTGTCAACACATGGTTTCCAAACGTTAGTGGTAGACTTAAGCAAAAGAGGAAGACACAAGAGATAAAATTTGGAATGTGATCTGCTATGGCATTTGTTATATCAGCATGCTTTGAAATGGAGGTGCAGCAAATGAAACACTTGAAGCTATGACCTCCAGACTGGCAGACCAGTTCTACCACTTAACTGTATTCTCTCTTGTGGGGACACCAGCCTTGCACACAGGTCAAAAATATAGAGCTCTGTATCAGTGTCATAGGATATGGAGCTGTGGGGCTCCAAAACAGCATATCATGATTTTCATATCTGGAGTTATGAGTTCTCAATGTGTGATACTGAGAAAGATGTAGGTAAATCCAAGTAAGCAGAATCCAAGTAAAAGCTGTGATTTACTTGGATGCTACTCCCTACAGGGACAGGGAAGGCATTCATCAGGACACCAGGACTGGTCATTGCTAAAGCTGCATAATTGCAAAGTGCAAGGCAGAAATTACATTTTGAGCAGAACAGCAGAAAGGAGTGGTATGAAAAAAAAAAAATTGCGTGAGTGTGGAAGCATAGTCTGCTTCAGATGGAAAAAAAAAAGGAGAAAAATTTATTACAATAAGCAGCAGAAATACTTCACTTTGCAGACACATAGAAGTGTTGCAAATGTCATGGATGTGATAGCACAACACGGATTCTGAAGTCTTTGAATGTGGGTGTCTCACTGAAGCTGAAGTTGATGTGAGAGTGTGAGGATAAGAAATTCGCTGAAATTTAGTTGTGTTCAGTTTGTTCACTGAATGCTGGTTTGGTCACTGTGTAGCTAATATGTACAGTTGGCAGTGTCCCCCCTGCTTCTCTCAGGTTGAGCAATAGAAATCACACCTGTCCTTTCGCTAAAGCTTTTTTGTTATAATCAAGCATAAATTTAATATCACCAAAATAATAAATATTGAACCCTCTTAAGGTTTTCATTAAGAAATCCCAGCATACATATTTAAAAAAGTGAAAAACAGTAGCACTTTCTCCCAGTGATGAGTTTCTTCACATGGGCGATGATCAGAGTTGGTCACAATGGATGGAGGATGTTCCAAGCAGATTTTAAAACCTCTATTGCAGGTATTGTGTGTCCATATGTCAGTTTTACTGTGGCTTAGGTGTGTGAAATGCCATCTCTGGCCATCACCCACAGCTCTTTGTCACGTTTCTAACAGGTGACACTCTGCCTTTCAGAATCACAGCTTCATCTGTCCCATAGAGAAGTTCTCCATTCTGACCCAGAGGCATTGCTTATGTGCTGCTCCCGTGTGTGGTAATTTTGTACTGGTAGCTTGAAGTGCAGGAGAGGGTCAGAGATGTGCAAACTTGTGTTGTGCTCTGTGTTGAGCAAAGACGTACCAGCATGCAGGGAGATGTGTGCAGAGTGTGAGGGACAGCTCTTATCTTCACACATACAGCATCAAATATCTGAGTACAGCAGTGCTGCTGTAGCATGCACTGGAAGAGAGGCCAGAAAGCTTCACAGTTTTGCCCTGCTTTGATCACATAATGGTGAAACTCACTTCAATTGGTTTCCAAGCAGCTAAATGCCCCACTTCCTCTGCATTTTGCTTGTCTGTTCATGATAACTGTATTTCCCAAGAGCTCTAACAGCCACAAGAGTAAGACTCTTACAAATCTGAACTGCCTCTGCCTAAAGAAAATATGCTTTCATCACATGTGTTTTTGTGAGTTCCCACAGGACTGTTCTCAGCATTCCTATATAGCAAAGCCACCGCTGCCTGTGGTGGCTGCCTACTCTGATTTTCAGTAGTATTCTTGTAATTTTCCATACGTTGAGATTTGATCTGCAGGCGACAAACACTGCACATTACGAGGTGTTTCATGCAAAACTTCACCCTTGCACAGACTGATTTCCTGTATCACCGACCATTTGTTATCGGGTGACCTGCTGCCTACTGTCTCATTAAATGTCCAATTTCTTTTTTTCAGCACTGTTTTCATTTTCTCTCCTTAAGGCCACCTGCTGCAGGTACCTGCTGGGAGCAGTTACTGTGACTTCTCACCAGCAGTGAGTTGAGCCAGGGCCTGGCAGGCTGCACTGCACACTGCCCTCCTGACCCAGGATGTGCAGGAGTTACACCACCACCTGTCACCAACATGTCCTGTTCCCTACTTCACCCCACCCCCCACTTGTCAAACCTGTAAATTATGTCTTTGGTTCCTGTTCAGTTTCTCTTCTACCCAAGTAATTCATGCACAACACATGTCTAGCTAGCTGCCATGTTGGTTTTTGGGGATTATAACGTCCACGTAGCATAGTTCTCCTCAAGGAAAAACATTGCTGCTACTCTTCATAAAGGTGGGAAACACCCTGATAGAATGGTTCAACAGGTCAACCCCCCAGTTCCTTGATTTCCTGTTGCTTTCCAGGAACACAGGCTGCCTACAGAGCTGAAGTTAACCCACCACCCCTCAGCTTTTCACAAAGAGGCCACCCTATAGCTGGCCTAGGTCTTCACATGGAACCACAGCCATGAAGTTTTGGATCCCTCTGAAGGGCTGCACAGAGAACCCACTGCTGTAATTGGACTTGCTTTCTGGTCTGTCTTCTGTCACCTTCAGACCAGAAGGTCTCAATATCCTGCTTTTTGCCTGTGGTGTTAAAGAGGAAATTAATCTCTCAAATCCTTCCCTGTTTTGTTAACTGGACACCCTGAATGGCCTAACCTTCCCTTGGACAAACTGACTAAGGAGAGTTTCTGATACTAGATACTAGCTCAAACATTACAGCATTCCTGAGTTCTAACTCTTGGATGTGAGGATGCTTGAGCAGAATCCAGTACTCCTTCCCTGTCTCAGACCTGGGCTGTACAGAGCCCATCCCATTCTCTCACCATATGTTCCACTTAACCCCAGAACCATGCTCACCACTAAGGCTCAGTGTCACCCAGGGCCTGGTGGATCACCTGTCACAGCCAACCAGCAGTGCAGCCTCTGGTCCTGCTTGGGTGTCCTGTGTCCTTGGTGACCTTGATGATAAAGGAACCTGCCTTCAATTCAGGCTGGAATGTCTCTGTAGTCAAACTAAACTGCTGTGACAGAAGTGAGGTTGGAGGGAGGTGAAGAGGAAAATAAGAAGAAAGTGCAGACACTGTAGGAAGAGCAGGTGGAAGACGGATCGATGAAAGAGAGAGGGGGGAGATACTGCGTGAGGATGGAGGTGCAAGACAATAGTGAAAAGGTAAGCTGAGGGAAATATGATGAAATAGGAGTTCATGTTATCAAGCACTATGTCATTGATGCCAATCCCCCGCATGTCCTGTATTTTTATTACTGGGCCATGAATGGTCCCAATATGTCCCAATAAGAAGTAAGTCCCTGTCACAGCTGTTTGAAAGTCACAAGAGGTGAAGCCAGGAAGATGTCTGATAAGGCTGCCAGACAGGACAAAAAAAAGAGAGGAGAGGAGAGGAGAGGAGAGGAGAGGAGAGGAGAGGAGAGGAGAGGAGAGGA